CTCCAGTCATTTAAAATATTTTTTAAAATTTTGAGACAGTCTTGCTGTGTTTATTCAAGCAAATTTACTCAAGTTTTACATTTAAATTCAACAATGTTAACATCATATCCACCATCATTTTGGATATCAAGTGTAATTCTCTTGATACCATTCAATATATTATAGGATATTTTATTATTTGAAAAAGAAAAAAGTCAGAACAAAGCAGTAATCTTAAAATTGTTGCATTTCATTCATTATTTACATCTTATTTAAAGGTAGTGTAACTTACTAAAAATTTCATTCTGGGCAAGGACTTTATAGAAACCCTATATATAACAATCAAGTTAATGAAACAGTGCTTACCCTTACTACTTTGACACACTCTGATTTTATTTTCCTTCTTCCTCCCTCCCTCAGTTTCTCCTACCACCTTTCCTTCCTTCCCTTCTCTTATGCTGGTCCCCACCCACTAGAGTTGATTTCATAACGAACTAAAAGGATCGTAACCTACAGTTTGAAAAACACTATTCAGGATTCTAAGTTCCTTGAGGGCAGTGACTATCACTGAATCATTTCATCCTCATATTTCCAAATCCCGGCACTATTTCTTGTTCTCAGTAGCTTCTTATTAAATGTTTTCTGAATGAATAAGCTTCAGTTAAAAAGTTTTGCAGCCACTGGGATTCCGGAAGGGACGGGAGAAGTGAATAATTTATCACAGACTTCCCAAGAGCTCCTGCTGTCCCCTATACACTGGGGCCTTTGTAGACTTGTCTGGGAAGCCTTGCTCTCTGCCCTGCCTTCTACTTCCCCCCAACTTCCAGGAGAGAGGGCAGGAGGTTTAATGAAGTTCAGAGGTTTTCCTAGACAAAAAACATATTAATCAGGTTCTTGGGTAGATTTGTCAAGGCACAGATGATAAGAAAGCAAGATTCTTAATAAGACATTCATTTCACTTTTTATATAAACTTAATCCTCAAACCTGATTCTTTCTTCTCCTTCTAAAGCTACTATTATGCTGTTTTTCAGCCCATCTGTTAAACCCTGACCATTTCTGATTTTTTTTTCAAACACTATAAATCTTCATTAGGCCATGCTCCATGCCAGGAATTTTCCATTTGAGGGTAGAAAAAAAAAAATTCCCAAGCCCACCAAAACTCTGTGGCTTGGTTTCCTGTCCAGCTGGCTTGCTATTCCTTGGGATTTTATTCCCATCATCAAAGTGGCTTAACAGACCGAGAACAAACCTCTGGCTCACCCTAAACTTACAGTATACTGTTTCCAAGTCAGACAGACACCAAGAAAGAGAAAAAAATTATTTTCCTGACTTAGAAGCCAGTTCAGAGAAAGCCCAACTCTTTGACTGTAGACTGGACCGTTATGTGGCCATAGTGGTGGATGGAGCGTGAGCTGTGGGCTCAGAGTCAAGACTGCTGTGAGTTACCCCGAGGCCATGGGTGGACTCTGTTGTGGCTCAAATCCTCTGTTCCTGGAGTCTGAATGTGCAGCATTTGAGGGAGTCTTCTGTGACCTTGCTGAAGATAGACCTGGCCCAGATCCGCACAGCCATGGAACAGTCGGGTGGTCTCTGAAGTGTCCCAGGCCCTGTGCCCAGCCTCAAGAAGATACAGAAAACTGTAGCCTGGCAGGGAGCTCTAAAGGTTGCCAATCTTCCCTCTGTTCACTTAAAAATGTCCAAAAAGATGTTAGCTTAAAAAAAAAAAAAAAAAA